CGGCTTTTGACCTTACTGTACTTTTGAGAGTGCTATTTCGTCACCTCGGTGTGCTATTTAACAGAGTGCTGGTATTTCAAGTCTCATTTTTTCTTCAGAAATAAGTGCTAAGGGAGAAAGTTTGTGTATCTTACAATCTTGCCACTTTGTCAGTGAACCTTTTAAATTCATTGATCTGGAAATGTAACGCTTCTAACACATTTCAATTCATTTGCTAAGAAGTATAAGAGAAAATGAAATTGTCGTTGCCCTACTAGGTTGTCTTAGCTTTCTGGTAAATCGTTGTAAGAATGTGGACGGTGTTATGATCTTTAAACTACCAAGCCCAAGAAGTAACATAAAATCTTAAAACAGTTTTGTTCTTTAGAATAAACTGTTTAATTTTCAGAAGCTTTATTAAGTGAACTCTAAAGTTCTCAGAGTCCTGGACGCCTTGTGGGTTTGGGCAGGCTCTCCCAGCATAGCTGTGGTCTGCTGGAATTCAGGCGTACCTGGGGGATCTCTGATTGAATCAGTCAGTGATGAAGGTTGCTGGCATTCATGATTGATTTTCATTAAGAATTATTTTAAAGTATTATCAATTTTTTTTTTTAACACCTCAAAGCTATGGGTGAAATTTCTGCCATGAAATAAGTTGCAATTACTACAATGTAAAATTTCTGATTAGAATAAATGGAGATTTTTCCATGCTGGCAGGTCTAAGATATATCAAAACCAGAAGGGGGGATCAGGGTGGGGGGAAAGGGAAACTGACTGGAACTGGTGGTTTGGTCAGCTAGACTACAGCTGCTGTTTTTAACAGCTGCTACGATTTACTCTGGGTTCTAGTGTGTACTAGCCGCATTGCATATCAAGTGTGGTAATTTTACACTTTGTATTGATGAATCCTATACAGCATGTGTCAATGAGTCTAAGATGCTTCAAGATAAAAGATACAGTGAAAAAGAAAAGGATTGTATTTGTAATCTTGCCAACAGGTACCATGTATTTTTGTAATTAGCTTGTATCTGACATCAACACAAAGGAATGCCTGGTTCTTCAGTGTGCCTCCAGTTCTTTCTTTCCATGTTTTTCCTTCTGGTTCCTGTTCATTTTATTCTCTGTCATCTTCCTTATTCCTGTCTTCTTTTCCTCTTACTTTTTGTTTAAATTAATTCCATATTCATTTCTTGTTACTCTTCGCCAGAAGTTTCTCTTTTCAGGCCACGGTGTCTCTATGTGTACATCATCTTTACACCTCTCATTATGGAGTCTGTTTAACTGAGCAGGTGTAGTTCGCAACTCCTAATACCCCTTGTGGTGTTTTTTCTTAACTGTAGATGCTTCGGGAGCACAAGTCTATTATTATTCAGAAACATGTAAGAGGTTGGCTGGCTCGAATGCACTACCGTAGGACCTTGAAGGCAATTGTTTACTTGCAATGCTGTTACCGGCGCATGATGGCCAAGAGGGAGCTAAAGAAACTTAAGATAGAGGCCCGGTCTGTAGAACGCTACAAGAAGCTTCACATTGGCTTGGAGAACAAGATCATGCAGCTGCAGCGAAAAATTGATGAGCAGGTAAAAGCTCCGTGGCTTCAGGGGAAATATTTAGAAATCTTGTATTACCTTTCTGAGTAGCACTGCGGGCATTCACAGAAGAATGCACTGAAGTTTCCTTGTAAGGTATTAGTTCTCTTTTCTACTGAAGCACATTGATAGAAAAGAAAGGGAGGCCACAGTAGAACTGGAACAGTAAAGCATGCGTTTGTGTCTCTCAGCAGCACTGAGAGAAAACATCTGCTCCCTTGGTGTCAGTATTTCATTTGAAGCATGTCAGTTGCTCTGTTTAAGGGGAAGGTGAGGTGATCGTGTTTGATGTGTGTGGGCTCCCTGTCTGATTTTAGTTTGGGACATTCATGTGCAGGCTTAGAGACTGGACTGTTCTGTCACCTTGTTAAGCAGTTCTGCAAAAACAGACTGAAACTTTTTGTAAATGGGGAAGCTGCTCTTTTGCTCTCATGCCTGGGTGTATTCTGTAGGGAACTGGAAGGCTCCCTTAAATCAGAACTGCTCCAACAGCTGCTATGTCTGTGTTGTGTTTTGCAAAGAACAAAGAGTACAAATCTCTTCTGGAGAAGCTGAGCAACCTGGAGATCACGTACAGTACGGAGACAGAGAAGCTGCGGAGTGATGTGGAAAGGCTTCGGATGAGTGAGGAGGAGGCTAAGAATGCGACCAACCGTGTCCTCAGCCTTCAGGAGGAGATTGCCAAGCTCCGGAAGGAGCTGCACCAAACTCAGTCTGAGAAGAAGACGATTGAGGAATGGGCAGACAAATACAAACATGAAACCGAGCAGGCAAGTATGCAGTCTCAGATGCATGAGAAGATTTATAGGGGCCTGGTGTCCACTCAGATTTTGCCCAGGTTTAACTGCTTAGGTTGTGTGGCTGATATTTTTACAGTATTTTTAAGGAATGTTATACCTGTACAATCCTAAATAGGCTTGATACCTAAGTAACTACACCTATGGTAGAAGAATATACTAAATCTATATATTGTATGTAAATATATGTATTCGATCTATTCAGATTTTGATATTGAAAGTATTTGCAAATCCAAAAACTTAAACTTCCTCAATTAGTCAGAGGTAGCGCATTCATCAGAAGAAATAATTCTACCTACCTAGAGAGTGTAATGACATAGATACCAGAAGTCTGTCCCATACACAGTATTCAAAGGTACCTGCTTATATCCTACCTAATTTAAACAATTAGCCTACTAAACACATGTATGTGTGCGCAGTCTAGTTCAACAGGTTTTGGGTAACTCCTTATCTTTGCTTTAACCACAAACATATCAAACAGGTTGTTTCCTGTCAAGATTACTTGCTGATAACGGTGCAAGTTTCGAATACTGGGAGAGCCATTCCATCATTATGTGATGCTGCAGTGATACATTTCAAATAAGATAAACATAAGGAAAAATATTAATTGATTAAGCAAAGGGAATGCTTAGTAACCATAATCAGAGACAAATCAGTAACTAGCAAACCTAGACACGGTTAAAGTGGCACAAGTTTTGGGCAGAGGCAAGGTGTTAGATTATGGTGTTACCCCATGCAATGGAATATACAACAGAATGACCAAATTTCTTCCTATTTTAGGAATATTTCTGTTTTAAGGAATAAATTACATCTTTGGGACTTTACTGAAAGATATTATGGCACAGTGGAATGGTTCAAGGCAGTTTTGGCATCTGATCAGAAATGGAGTGCAGAACATACAGGGGAATCTGCAGTGGGACATACTTAAGACATGTAATTTGTGAAATGAACATGTCATAACTTCATTCTCTAAGAAAAAGTTTAAGTATTTGAACTCCTACAACAAGGGTGTAGATGCTGTTAGAGCTACTGATGAGAGACGAACTGCATTCTGAGTCAAATATTTTATTATCTCTCTAGCTGGTATCGGAGCTGAAAGAGCAGAACACATTACTGAAAACAGAAAAGGAGGAGCTGAACCGACGCATCCATGACCAGGCGAGGGAAATAACAGGTTGGCTCTGTTCTCTTCACTCAGGTTTTCTACTTCATGTCACCTTGCAAAGCAGCACTCTACTGCATAGATTGGGCTAATTTGCCTTAGTTTGCATTCCTTTTTAGTTTAATGGTATCATTTCTTTGTTTTAATAATTCATATGCATCAGAATTGTTTACTGTTTGAGTTTCTGTGAAGTCCTAAGGGTTTGGGGTCTTTTTGGTGAAGGTGACTGTTACAAAGCATTTTACTTTTAAAAAGAAGGCTCTGATATTTAATACAATTAATCTACTGCAGCTCTTCTGGCTGCTATAACTTACGTAGACAGAAACCAGAGGAGCATAAGTCTAGATGAAAAGGCTGTGATGGAGGCAGATGCGATGACAAAGGTCAGCGTGCCTGAGGCGTAAAGCATCTTACATTTTGCTTTTTACATAATGCAGCACTGGGCTAGTGCCCCTTCTTTCCTCCCTCTTGGAATTACTAATGCAAGGTATTAGCAGAATAACTAACATGACTGAGTGAACCCTTCTGTGGTTACCACAATAATGCTTTGGTCCTTCATATATTTGGCTTAATCTTTGCCTATAGAAGCACAAATACCACACACCACCTTCAAACAGCAGACTGTTTCACCATCTGTGTTCCTGATGCAGACACATGCCTGTACCTCCAGGATGGGTGCGCTGCATGGTAGGTAGAACTGGAGTTCTCACTTTGGATTCCTGTTCTCTGTGGCAGAAACAATGGAAAAGAAGCTAGTGGAGGAAACAAAACAGCTAGAGCTAGATCTGAATGATGAACGGTTACGGTACCAGAACCTGCTGAATGAGTTCAGCCGTTTAGAGGAGCGGTATGATGATCTGAAGGATGAAATGAACTTAATGGTGGTAAGTGGCTAAACATCTGAGAAATCAAAAGCTGTTCACAAGTGTGTTTAGGCAGAATCTAGTGGTATAAGTTAGTAACTGATTCTGCTGTCAGCTGTGTGGTGGTGACCTGTACCTGAAAAGAGAATTTGTGCTTTTAAATATTGATTAATCAGATTAGCTCAGCCAAAACAAATATATTTAAAATTTGTGGTTGATGCTTTTTAAAATTTTATTTTTATTTTCATGTTTGTGGAGAAGGCTAAATTTGTGCTCTGACTTTGCTAGTGGTATTGCATGTGCCATCTGCCCTGAAGTTATTCATATGTGCTAGGGTTGTTTGTACCACATTCATCCAGTGTTAAATTTCAAGTAGTTCTAGGAGTATTTTGTGTGTCAGGAAGAAAAAATATTCCTCAGTACAGTGTCTGGGAAGTTAGAGAATTGCTGCCTGTGCTTCCTGTAAACCAAGCTTTTCTTTCCCACAAAGTGCTGCACTGTTGCTTGATTCTGCTTTCTGCAGCAATACTTGATGGTGTAGGATCTGACCTGTCTCCATAGATTTGATTGTGAACTACATCTCATAGGCTTTAGGTGGCATGAGAGACCAGAATCAAAAATCTTTTCTTATAAATTTTGATAGCTGTGAAATAACACCAAATATTACAAGCTAAATTATAGGTTGTGAAGTGACAGTCACAGGGAAGACCATATAGTGGTATTGATTTGTTTCATTTGCATTCCAGAACATCCCCAAGCCTGGACACAAAAGAACGGACTCAACTCACAGTAGCAATGAGTCTGAATATACTTTTAGTTCTGAGATCACAGAAGCAGAGGACTTACCAGTGAGGATGGAGGTAATGTTAAAAAAAACCCACAACTTTTCATTGATCAATGGTTGAACTTACTCCTATCTCTTTTTCTTCATATGTGGTTGTGAACACCATATACTTACATTGAGATACCTAATACTTCAACTTTTTCCATTTCCTTTTCCTTTTCTCAGCTAGTTTTCTAGTTAGTTGTGGTCCTATGTAAAAAGGCTTTGTGAAAGTATGCTTTGAATTCTTCTGTATTACAGTAAACATAGACTAGACACCTGGCCATCCAATTGATTTGCATCAGTAAAACATTTGCTTGCCAGTGTTTGTAAGCACAATCACTTTTTCAGCACAAAGTGGGAATTCAGAAAACCAGTCAGACTTCCTGAGAAGTCTGTATACTGTATATTCAAGGATTAAAAGGGACAAGGTGGGTAGCCACATTCTTAGTAACTACATGGAATGAGTTCCCTGTTAGGGGTGAGAACCTCATGTTGATATGTTTTTCCTCCATTTCATAGAGATGAGTAAAACTCTGAGAATGTACTATCCCTTTGCATATGCAGTGATACAAATCCCAGGATATTTAAAAATGTTCAGAAAGATGACTCTTTTGCTTCAGCTAATGAATAATAATGATGAATAATTTGTGGTGCAACTCCAAGCCATTCTTAGTATTTTCCAAGATAACTCCCCCTTTTGGCCCCTCCCGAAGAAGTGGGACTGCTGACACAGCAGAGAGCCATCAGCTTGGTGGTCTGACTGTCCTTGGCAGTTTGCAGATGCAAAGCTTTTTCTGTGCTTTCTAGAGACCTTAACTGTGAGCCATCGCACAGCTCACTCCATTTGCCCTCTGTCTAGGTTAGTTATCTCCACAGTTGCTTTTTACAGGCTGTCATTACTGTTTTTGAAAGCCTCCTCAGAAAATTGTTTTCTACTATGCATGCAAATACTCTGACGCATTGATGCTGACACATGTTCTATGCGGACTCTTTCATAACTCGCCTTCCCACTTACATTTTTCGCCTTGCATAATTGTTTCAGAAAGATGCTCCTACCTTCATGGATAATCAGGAAAAGGACAGTGCAACTACATGTGATTGGATTTCACATATGAGCCAAATGTCATCTTTCTTTTGACTTACTGATTGCTGTTTTAGAGCCAGTTTTGGTTTTTAGAATAGAAATGAAAAAAATTAACTCACACAAGAGTGTGAATAAATGCAGCACTCGGAAGATTAAGTCTGTATTTGTTTAACCCCTTAAGATTTCACATTCCAGTTTGACTCTAGACTAACAATACAAATCAATGATGCAAAACCACATTAAAAAAATAGGATCCATCTCAATACGAACCAGTAAAGCCAGAAAATTCAAAGTCTGTTTTCTTTTTCCTGAGCTGTTGGTGTGGTTTATGACTCTTCCCCTCAACAGTAAAAGGAGATGAAGTGGAAATGGCTGTGCTCGCTTGTCTGCTACAGTCATTAATATTAATTTTCTAGTTCCTTTTCTAGGCTTCAAAATTTTATGGTGCACTTCATAGTAAATGCTTTGATCTTCTTGCTACATAAAGTACAAAATGGCTGACGGACAATTTCTGATGCACATTCAGGTTACAAATGCTGGTCCTTGCCCAGAAAATAGTGAGAAAGCTAGTGGATTAGTCCCAGAACAGGCTCTATAATTAGAATAATAAAAGGAGAAAGGCATAAAATATATCTTCTGGTACCTATTCATGTCACATCCCACTAAATAACCTGTAAATCTACAATCAGCAGACAGATTTCTCTGTAGCTGAAGAACTTACTGTAGAAATAATTTAAAAATAAAAAACCAAATTCTCTATTTACAGTTGTTTCCAGATGAGTCTAACCACAGACATTTTTTTCCTCCTTTCCCCCTCCAAACAAGTAAGAATAAAAGGTATGCTTAATTATAGACCTCCTGTCTCCTAGGTAGTCTCTAGTGCTTTCTTTTGCTAGGCTTTAGGCTTAGATACGTTTTATACTAGTAGATATTTTGTTAAAATAGCATTTGACAGCTGATGAAATATTTTAGGTGCCAATAGTTCACTCTCAGAATCAAGTCACATTTCTGTGTTCCTCTTTCCCCAGTCTGTTTCCCGCCTTTACTCACTGTAGTGCTTCCTTGTGATGTGGAAGGAGAATAATTCTTGACTTCCTTCTGTTCTTTCTAAAGCAGGAACCAAGTGAGAAAAAGGCACCATTGGATATGTCTCTGTTCCTCAAGCTGCAGAAACGGGTTACAGAGCTGGAGCAAGAAAAGCAATCCCTGCAGGATGAACTGGACAGAAAGGAAGAACAGGCTCTCCGTGCTAAAGCCAAGGTGGACTCCTTCTAGCTGATCAAATGCTGATGCCAGAGTATCTCTTCTCGTGAAATAGTAGCTGTGTGACTGCTGACTGGCATTTACTAAATCCTCATCTTCCTCTAGTACTTGCTTTACCTAACGACAAGTTTTATGTCTGGTGCTTAGTACTAGGGACTGGTTATTTAGTTTTCCAAGGTCCTTGAGATCCTCTGATGGAAGTTAACAGGAGGAAAAAGTGCTTAAAAAAAAAAAGGCTGCTTTATTAAGGAGTAGCAATATAGAAGTTCTACCTACATGATAGGGAGAATAAGTAATTGTTCATTTTAGGCAGAAGAGGAAGTGTTTCAACCAGGATGCAGAGCCAAAGCACTGGGATTAGACACGTTTAGCAGATTTTATTTGAAATTCTCCTCTGATTTGGTCTCCTTAAGTACTTATAAAATTATGAAACCAGTTTTGGCAATTGTTTCTTACTACTCTTCCAGCAGTGAATTTCTTGAGCATCCTGGCATTCATCCTGCTTTATTTTGTCACCAGTGACAGTGGAGTGACTTGTACATGATTTTATTTATATTAACCAATTTGTGTCATAAATTCAGAAGTAAATGAAAGGAGACAATGCCAATATTCAAACTAAAGCACTCAGCAGTACCAGAAGGAGTGTTTTCCAGTTTTATAGGAAAATAATTTCAGGTCCCTTTCCTTTTCCTGCCTCAACTAAATTAAAGAATAGAAAGGATTGGATTTTTATTTTTCATGCTTGTCTGTATTCTTTTGTAGGAGGAGGAAAGGCCTCCAATAAGAGGTGCAGAGTTGGAGTATGAGTCGCTCAAGGTAATTCTAAAAAGGAGGTTTCTGTTATTTTCTAGTGAGACTATTGCCACCAGTTGTATGTGCCGGCATAGAAAATTACACCAGTCCTCCTGTTTCAGAGTATTAGCTGGAGAAACTAGAACAGAATTTCCTCAGCAATCATTTTATTGTAGGATTGTCCTTTTTGAGGGGTAGAATGTATAGCTGGGGCTGCAGAACAAAAAGATCCTCTAAAATGGGGGGAGTTCTCTGTTGAAATACTTAGTACAGCTTGCAAGTTAATTTGAGCAAAAATACAGTGATAAATGTAGCCCTCTTTTCCAAACACGTTATTTAAATTAATGCATACCGTAGACCACAAAACCTAAAAGTATTTCCTAGTATCACTGAATGATGCAGAATCTTCTTAGCCTGCTGACTAGTATTCATTGTGAACTTTTTTTCTTTTTAAGGGGAGAATAAGAGGAAAAAAAGATTTGTAATTTTTTTCCCATCAACTCTGTATGATTCATGTACATGTGTTCTGATTTTGCACTTCAGACAAAAGGTTAGCCCTCTTAGTGAAATCCTCCCAGGCACTATTCACCATAGTCAAGAGGCCAGGGATACGGGAGACAATGGTTGATTTGTTGCAGTTACTCATTGTTGGAATGCTGCTGGGTGACAGAATTGTCCTGATTTCTTGCAGCGTCAAGAACTTGAATCCGAGAACAAAAAACTGAAGAATGAGTTGAATGAACTGCAGAAGGCCCTCACAGAAACACGATCTCCAGAGGTAACTGCTCCTGGCGCCCCTGCGTATAGAGTCCTCTTGGATCAGCTGACTTCAGTAAGTGAAGAGCTTGAAGTACGCAAGGAAGAAGTCCTCATCCTGAGGTCTCAGCTTGTTAGCCAGAAAGAGGCTATTCAACCCAAGGTAAATAGCAGGTGCACTGTGTAGTGAAGTTACATTGCATCACTGACATGCTTTATTTAATTTAACAGCATGCTTGAAAGGCAAGGTCTAGGTTTGAAAGCCTTTCTAAGTGTAATCCATTGATCCGTTGTTAATGCACAAATTGCAGCAGTGCGAATTGGGAGATTCTGTTAATAAACCAATTTTGGGTTTGTCTACCAGCGTTCATGTAAAGATACCATACTGATTGCACCAGGCTGGTAGATACCAATGGTCCGGCCAGGATCTCCCCAGACTCCTTTAACAATGGAGAGATAATTCTCATTTGGAGCAGTATCATTTCTCTAGTGAGTATGTAGTTTGACTGGAAAACTTACAATAGTTCTCAGGAATTCTTTTTAATTAATAGTTCAGTAGGAGGTACAAGGAACAATTTCTTCTAAATCTATACAGGGTTATAGGTGATTGCAAATAAATAACATTTCATAAAGATGACCTATGAAGATAGATAAATTCCATATTATCACTTGATAGGTGCTATGTGGTTTTGTTGAGAAGAGTAGATTACAACCACTGAAACGTGTATCTCCTAAAAAACTCTAATTTTGGTGAGATATTTTGGGAGGTAATAGCTTTGAAAATAAGAGTCATTCAACCTGAAAAGGTATCACGTAAATCCAGGAACTAGTCATTTCCACTGAACTAAGCTATCTAGTGTTTCATAACCACAGCAAGGAATGAACAGATATGTCATCCTTCCTTTGCTACTGCAAAGTTATGTTTATATTTGTCCTAAATAAATTGAAAGCCTGTGATGCATGAAGGTGTGCATATCTTGGTTTAAATTATTAATTATAAAAAAAACAAAACTAATTTTTCTTTAATATTTAGAACATTGTAAATAAATAGTTGAATAGTAAATCCTTGAATAACTTATTCTCAGCCATGGTGGGATACAAGTGTTGTTTTTATAGCAGTTATGAGTATGAGGGGAATGTGAAAGTGACCTGTGGGATGGCTAACAGCCAGTTTGCAGAAAGCTTCTGCTTGTTAGGTTGGACAGCTGCAGCACAGATAGATTTTTTTTTTTTAATGATTTGTTTTTCTTCTTTCTTGCCTACCACTTTGATTGCCAGGAGGATAAGGTACACATTTTCTTCTACAGTTATAAACCAGAACTCTTAAATGCTAAAGAACCCCTCAACAATACTTGAGCTGCCATTTCCCTGCCTCTCATAAGTAACCTACGTGTACGTGAAGTTGTTCTTGCACTTTACTTTCCTGTTATTGAAAAACCTTTCTCATTATCCTATGTCCCCTGTGTCCCCATCTTCCCTCTCCGTGCAAGAGAACAAGTTATTTCAAAACAAGCAGATCTAACAATTTTGAAATCTTAGCTTATGGTAACCTGAACATGAAAGGAAAGATTCAGGAACTGGTCCGGTTAGCTCAATCAATGTACCTTGCTGAGTATGTTAGGAGAGTAAGAGCAGCACTGATTCAGGAATCAGATCTCGATTAACTTGCAAAATCCATAAATTTCACACAAAAAAGTTTGTGGTAGGAGCATCTTACTTTATAGTGTTTGTTGTCCTTGGCATGCAACAAACGTTCAGGACTCATGTTGTGATCTGTAGATATTAGTTAGGAATTGCTGAATGTTTAAATAGAGGACATAGGTGAACACATAGTATTTAGGAGCATGAGAAAGTGAACTGACTCTAAAAGAAGGCCGTTAATTCAAATATTACAACTACAGCAGGTAGGGTATTTTTGAAGATACAAGAGTAATTAACATTTCTTTCCATCAGCACAAAAATAATAAATATGTTCAGACTGCTAAAGCTTGATAGATTGGCAGGTGAGATACAGCAGGTTTACTGTGTAATAATATAATAGCAGAAAAATCACAAAGAGCTCATAAGGATGTTGAGAATAATTCTTTGACGAGCTTATCTATTTTATTGGTTTTCATATTAGATAACACAAATCATGCTAGGCATAGAGACCTAGGATCCAAAAATTTATGTCCACAAAGTTGTTATTGTAAATACTTTCCAGAATTTTACTGAGGAAAACAGCATTTGATTGTTTTGAAAGTCAAAAAGAAAAGGCAGAATTCCATCTCTTATGTTCATTACAGTCCTGTGGTTCCACTGTAATTATTCCACAGCAATGACTCAGATCAGACTGGCCAAGGTGACTGTAAACATCTGTTAAGTATTTTAAGTTTTACTGAAGAAAAAGCAAAAGTGCCATAGTAAACATTCAAAACTGAAACAAAATGGTATTATGATATCTAACTTTAAAAATCTCAAGCCCTTGTAAATTATTTCCTGCTTTGCCAGAGTACTTAAAATACATGAAGTGATGAATGGACCTTATTTATGAGATTTGAAAGACTACATGTAATGCCGTGTTTAAGAAATATTAATAGAATTAAGCTTGCAAAATTATGCTTCTTCAGTTTCAGTATTAGCAGCTGTTCCTGGTAATTTGAAATAAAATGCATATTCATCATTTCATGAAATTTATTTTGTTCCTTTTACATGATGAACAAATGAAAAGAGGTTAACACACGCACCCGCTTATTAGACAGACTGATATTTTGACCATGTTGCATGCATTCATTTTAAAAGACACACTAAATGGACATAGAAATTATGGACCAACCTCCTGCTCAGGTACCCACGCTAATTTTAATGTGGCTACTCAATGATTAGTGTTCCATGTGGGTAAAGTGACAAAAACATGGATTCAAAGAACAATTACATTGTTAAATTTACCCTGGAAATCATCATTCTTTTTCCAGAATACCATGACAGATTCTACAATCCTCTTGGAGGATGTACAAAAGATGAAAGACAAAGGAGAAATAGCACAGGCATATATTGGACTGAAGGAAACAAACAGGTACAAGTTCTCTTTATTTAATCTACAATCAGTTGGGGTCTGCTGTGACGCACTGTGTATATCATATTCAGTAAGTTGCATCCATGTAAGTCTAGATACTTAGAGAACACTTGTAGTTGGGGTTATAATTTGATTTGATTAGTAAAATTGTTGTATGCAATATCTGAAAGGATTAGGAAACAATGGGGAAATGCAGAATCAAGCTTCCTGCATTTACATCTTCTTAGCCTTTAACTGCTGCATGGCTCAAACTGGGTGCCATTCCCCATGTTGTTTTTTTACCTTTTGTCCAGTAGTTGTCACAATAGTCTGTCATAATATGTTTATTGTAACAGCATGAAATACTGTAACCAGTTGGGCTAACACCAACAACTGAATTTCGTCATTAAGAAGAAATATGTATAAAGAAGAGAAGTAATTTGCTAAGTTGTTTTAAAGCATTGTTTGTTTATCTTTTATAGTAACTGTAATTTAGTGTGTAATGTCCTTAATGTGTCATCTCATCACCATCACATATCTCTCTTGTATTTTTTTAAAAACTTTTCTTAAAAGGCAATCTCCCCAGGACTATCATATGCTGAATGAGGATGGAGAACTTTGGCTGGTTTATGAAGGGTTAAAACAAGCCAACAGGTTACCAGACTTCTCAGAATGGTTTTTTCCTTCGTTTGCATCTTCTTTTCTAGCTAACTGTGCCCCTTGCTATGGGTTTGCTTTAGCTACAGTATTTCTATTGCTTTAACAGTTCGAAAAAAATTAATCACAAATTTTACCAATTAAAGAGTTTCCTCAAACTTAGTCCCCAAACCTTTCTACTTGTCAAGTTTTACCATTTAAAAAGTTAAGATGGCGGCAACAACTAATACATAATTCATAAGAATACTTACACAAAAATAGACTGTAAAATACCAGAAGCTCCACAACTGGAAAAGATTTGTAGCTGTGTATTATTTGTCCACCTTTACGTTGTGTATCAAAATTAACGTCCCTTACAGTTTTTCCGCCTAAAGAAGTACAAACATTTTAGTAATAAAACTATTGTTTGAGTAGCTTCAGCGTACTCTTAACTTTCAAATAGTTATGGGTCTTGCTCTCCTTGTTGCGACTCAAGTTCAGTAAATTGAACATTCTTCTCCCACATCTCTCCATGCAAGATTCAAAATGTAAGACACAAAATAACCAACAAACAGAAGTAATCTTTAGTTGATCGTGACACTGTTCAAGTCTGCAAAGACTGCATGCTGGTCATGTAATGGGTGAGTTCACCTTGTTAGGAAATGCAGTTCTGCCTCTGTGTGCACATCTGGGCCCCGTATCCATGCATGTGTTCCAGACTTCCAAAATGGTTCCTAGTCCTGTACTGGCAACTAATTCAATAGATCAGCAGTGGTGGTTGTCTTCAATATACACATTTGGTAGTAGTAACTACAGAAGCAGGTATTTTGCAATGAATGCTACTAACTAAAGTCTTTCCTTTTCTTGTGCTAACAACTTCTATACCTAACCTTGTTTTGTAAGCCTGTGAAGCTCTAACTTAGAGCAAGCGTTCTGCAGAGCAGGAGGTGGGAATGTTTGCTCTGCGCCTCTTGTTTCTTGTCCTAGCACTATAGAGACAAGAAGCTTTATATTAAATGGCAGAGCAATGCAGGTAAATGACTATTTGCCCTTGCGTGCTTGATCAGTCTAGTTACTAATAAATGTGCCTGTCTTACGCATATTTAAACCCTGAAAGATTGTCTAATTGAACACTAGTAGTCAGTAGTAATGTCATTTCCTCTGTGTGTGTATGTATGAAATGATGAGTCAGAGCACTTGGACAGTGCCTTGCAAGCAGGAGTAGATCCCCACAGCACTGCTCGGAAGGAGGCTGGTGTGTGTTATCCCCATTTCACATGAGAAGAATTTGAGACGTGATGTGCCCAAGGGGAAAGAGCGAGTCAGTGTTGAGGATAAAATAGAGCTCCCGGATCCCAGTCCTGAGTTTGGTTCTGTTGTTAACCCTTCGTACATAAATGACAACCCTCTGCAAAGTGTTGGTTTTATTGTAAAAATAAAGATGATTGATGTGCCTTTGCAATTAAGTGGTTTCTGACTGAACAGAGTTGACTCTAAAAAGAATTTCCTTTGTTAATATAGCAGGGTCCCAGCTTAAGCGAACACACTGTCTTCTTCAACTTGCACAGTTTGTGTGATTTGGTTAGAGGTAAAACCTCTTTAAAGCCCCTTTAAAAGCAGTGACAATCTGTGAAGACTTAGCATTACGTTTATTGCCATATGTTCTCGGTGGCACCATACACAGTATGTGTTCAATCATAAAGGAAATGCAAAGCAGTGTCACAATTAGTTTCTCTCCGCTTTTTGATCATGCAAGCTTTATTTAATTAGAAGGCATACTGAAGGGTTTAAAGAGTACTCTGTCTTTTTCATTTTCCTTTGCAAGCCATGGCTAATTGTTCCTGAGCAGCAGCTAAAGCTTTACACTCCCTCTGGGAACTGGGGATGTAACTTTTAAAGTGTGTTCACGCAACTGTTGCTCAACTTCTTTAGGCTGCTGGAGTCTCAGCTTCAGTCGCAGAAGAAGAGCCACGAGAATGAACTGGAATCACTGCGAGGTGAGATCCAAAGTCTGAAGGAAGAAAACAATCGCCAGCAGCAGCTCCTAGCACAGAATCTGCAGCTGCCTCCAGAGGCCCGCATTGAAGCCAGTCTACAGCATGAGATCACCCGGCTGACTAATGAGAACTTGGTAAGGGAAATGATGCTGCAGGAGCAGCTAGGGGACTTACAGACTTGCTGCACCTGTAAGTTCTTATCAGTTTTCAGATGGCAACCTCCTGCAAAAAATTGCATGAGTGCAGTGGGTTTTTTGTAGGTAAACTAATGGGAGAGAGAGATCTGTGATTGCTGATGAAGTAATAACGTTTCAGGGAATTTGCCTGAAGTTTGTCGCATGGAGAAAGCTCATGGATCCCAGCTTTCAACTGATGAGTTTAATCATTGCTAAATAGAATGATTGATATCCAGGGAACTCATAAAAAATATTAGTGCCAAGTAGTGGTGTTTCCTCTGAACTGTATTAGTTTATTTTGTTGAAAAACTCTGATGTAGTTCTTCAGTTATTCAATGTCACTTTTCTTCCCATTTCTGTCCTCCGTGCCCGAAGCTACACAGATAATCCACTGTGTTATGAGCTCCAGCTATTCAGTATGTTTTGAAGAAGGAAATAGTTCCAGAAAAATAAACCTGGTTAGAAGTCACTTAGCTAATAATTGGTATTCCTTGTTTACTGCACAACATTTTTGTACGAAGGAAAGATCGGGTGAAACTCCTTACCTTTCCCTCCAAAGGAGTGTGGCCATCATGTGCAGGCTAGTTCAATTCTGGGGAAATTTGCCAGAGGCCCATGTTGGAATATCGTTGGCTTCTCACTGTTTATTGGTGAAGGGAGCCATGCTACTTCAGGAAGAAAAATCCTAGCTCTGAGTGTCATTGCTTCCTCTAAACAAGCCAAGGTATAGTCTTTCCTGCCCTGCTTATGTATGTTACAGAAGTTATGGTTGTCAGGCTCTTGTCTTAGCACCAAAGGTTTTGAGGAAAGCATCAGGTAATTCAGTGAACAGATCTTGGAAAACAGATTCAAAGTAGATTGTAAGTTTGCCTCAGCAGCAGCTGTCTCCCACTGGCAAAGGTAAATGGTGAATGTTTCTGTCTCTGACAGCTCCCTCCTGCTGCTTAGCCGTATATACGTTACAATTTTTAGCCTTTTTTTTCCCCCCAGGAGACCTACTCATCACATTCTGTGTTCCCAAGACAACACACAGTCATGTAATTACATCCCAGAGGAGCTCTCTTTATTTTCAAGTACAGTGAATGTAATTTTACTTGTTAAATATAGACTCATTCCTTAGTATTTCACTTCTGATGTTTGAGTATTGCAAGTCCACTCCAAGTCGGGAATATGCTTCTTTTCCACTCCTAGCCCTAGAGTGGAAAATATGTACAGGCTTTCTAGATGTGATATTAGAATTGCAGTTTTCACTGCAATCCCATCTTGATTGGCATAAGAAAATGTTCTGTCCAGGGTCTCACAAAGGTTATATTCCAGGCTTTCACAGTACTAGTACTGCCCATTTTTAAAAGATTTGACTGTTCTGCAACTCATCTACGTCAGCTTCTTTCTGGGAGAGGCTGGAGTGAGCACCACACCTAAGGACTGGAAAATTAGAGATTCTTGGTCTTGTTTTAGTCTGATTTCATTTATATAGTGCTTACTGAAGTGTCAGTGTCTCAAAGGCAGGGGAAAAACTATCCTGTACCTATTTTTACAGTTTTATGAGGAGTTGTATGCAGATGATCCCAAGAAGTATCAATCGTACCGGATTTCACTTTACAAACGGATGATTGTATGTAGATCACGTGAATCCTGTTTCTCTGTTGTCTCGTTCGCTGTTTCTGGAGCACTAATTGAAAAGCAGGCTGCCTCCCTTTCTCCCTTTCAAAGGAAATCCCCTGCAGAGAGCTTCACGATGCCAATTACCTCCTTCACTGCTTTTTTTTGTTAGTCTTAGTGTCTTCTGTGTAATCTGTGTCTCTTTTTGATGCACAGTTTTGTTACTAATATAAGTCTTGCACTGTGACCAAAGCAGTTTCTTTTTGAAATCTACTTAACGCTGCCCTGAAAAAGAGGTACATGATGCAAAAGAAGTTCAGTTTTCAGAACCACTCTTTGCTTTGAAACTTTGATACATTTAAATTGAGTTCAGCAAAATAGAGGTCTGATCATACAGATACTTACGAAGGCGAATAATGCCTGCAATTGTGAGTAGCCCAGTCTTAGCCTGAATTTGTTCATAGATCTCTTTACAGTGCTGACATCTGGAATGAATAAATCTATCAGAATCAAAATACGTAACCTTTTAGTATTTTTCAAAAATGCAAAGTCTGAAGGATAACATTGGCAATAATACTGTATTTCCATAATAATTAAAGATAATAAATTGAGATAGCACCATATGTAATGTTGAAAGAATATAATTTATGAGATTCCAAATCTTAATGAGATGTGAAATCTGTTCCATTTGTTTAGAGGAACCACAGAAAGAACTTTTTTCCTCCTCACATATTTGTTGTTGAGAAATCATATCCCTTTACTGATATTTTCAAAACAGTCTGTTGGACTTACATGTATTTTTTTACTGATTTCAGTAGAAATTATTATATCTGATGATAAGCATATTGTGTTATTAACAGGATTTCTGTTGTAATACAGAACAGTACTTTGCATAGGAAGCATGGCCTTGATTCTGTTCTTTCAACAGGCCTAATATCTTACTGCTCCAGTATATTATATTAGGTTGTAAAATCTTTGTTAATATGATTGAGAGCAATTTTGTGCTTCAAATTTGTTGCCAATGCTGCACTAATATTTTTCAGTACTTTTAGGAAAGGTATAGTTGCCCATATGATGCTTTTGATGCAAGGAGCTCATGATCCCTTACGTTCTTCTGAGTGCCATGGAGGATCACGCTTACAGAAGAGCATTTTTCTTTTAAGCTGCTTTCAAACCCTTAACCTGGAATGGCTTTCAGGATTTTTGAGCTTGAGGTTTTGCTTCCTTTAGAAAGACTTCCCCTTTTTTAATTCCATGATTATTTAATGAAGGCACTAGGTCACAGAATTATTCAAAGAGAGATTTCTGGGGAGTGCTCCTTTCAAAGAAAAATACAGCTTTCTTGCAAGAGTAGAACTTTTAGGTGCTAGGTGTTGTTCAGGTACAGAAATAAAAAGATGTAAGACCCCGGTTTCTGTCTAAGGAAATGTGATGACAGCAAGCGATAGGGAGATGGCAGAGAATTACAAGTAATGTTGTATGTTTGGATGTTTGATGATTTTGGTAAATTTAAGTGCAAGTTACGGTCTTTCTGCAGATCTCTCTCTTGTAGTCTTATAAATGGATAGGTCTGAATAACGAGTCAGTCCTGAAGGCATGAATAAATCATGCAGAAATACAGGCTAGCTGTTAAATAATAAAGAAAATTATTTCCGTGAGGCATTCGGAAGAGCAGGGAGGAAGCATTAGGGAGATGTTTGCAGCAAAATGCCTTCTGCCATAAGAACAGACCTAGTTCTGAGTGTCTGCAGAATATACCTGCCTAAGAGCTTTGCCTTTGTCATGCTGCACATAATAATATTTGTGATATTTGCCTCGTGTTATAGGCAGCATACCAGCTTGCAAACCTCAGCCAGAGGGTGGCACCACTGTTCAGCTTTCCTCACCACCTTGTAATTCTAACAGCACTGATTTTCGTCTGTTACACATTATGGCACTTTCTCATATCTTAATCTTTCTCTCGTTTTAATTTACAGGATTTAATGGAGCAGCTTGAAAAGCAAGACAAAACCGTTCGCAAGTTAAAGAAACAGTTGAAAGTATTTGCTAAGAAGATTGGTGAGCTTGAAGGTACTTTTATATTTTGAGAGGAAGAGAGAGATTTTGGTTTACTTTTTGTGATCCCAATGTCATATCCATCTGTCTTAGCAGTCGGGAGGGCATGAGGTCTTCAGTAGCATTAGGCTCTGTTAATTGATTCCAGAAACAGGAGATGCACTCAGAGCTCTGTGTGTTCCTTTATAAACCTTTAGAATATTTGTCATATTTTGAAACAGTGAGTAAAAGGAGATTGATGTTTCTCTGCAGAAACCATTGAACCATAAAGGAATGTTACCTGGCCTATTTGTGTACTCAAAGACAGTATCTGTTTTTGTAAAGACAAAAGCAATACTAAATATGAACCAGGCAGAAATAATTTACCCAGTTTTCCTTTGTGAGTTGCTATATCATTGGAGCCAAGAATGCTGAGACTGTCTTTCTCTGCTTGAGGTTTCCTTTCAGAGCTGCTGGTGAAACTTGAATGAGAGAACGCTGAGATACGGACTAAGCTAATTTTATTTTTATGAGTGTCAGAGTGAGTTGCCTTAGGATCTTAGGACTGGTGAGACTGAGAGCTTATTATGTCTCTGCATAAGTAAAGTAATTTTAATTGCTAAAAGCAATTAATAATGTTATAAAGTTCAAGTACGGATTTTTTTTTAAATAATCCTGGTCCTAATCTTTCAGAAGCTTTTTATGGTCATCTGCTTCCTCCAGAAACAAGCTCACTGCCTAATGAGTTGTTTATTGAGTACTGAGATTGAAATTAGTGACTGTGTAGTCTTCAGTGCTTCAGTGTTTGAAAAGAACAGTGATAGCAAGTTAAACCTGGTTTGACAAGGGTATATTATCCTTTAGCTAGTGGCAGCTCCCCTCGAGCTCCAGTTTGGATTTCTGCATTTTTCTATCGCATTTGACAGGTTTACATTTAGCACACTTACAGGATGTGCAATAGTTTGTAGAGATTGCATGCAGCTAGGAGGGTTGTGAGAAGAGGATGTAGCTTTCATGGGATGAAGCCAAGTTTTGCTTTTCAAAAACAAACGCGCAGCCTAATCAAGTTGAGTGTAGGTGGTGAATGTGATACCATGAGGCATTGTATGCAACAAGGTGGATATTTCATATATCCTTTTGAAGGGTTATTCAAATTAAGGTTGTTTTTAAAAAGTCTTTCAATATTGTTTGGTTACTACTGTGGACAAGATCATAGTAGTATTCACACAAAATACAAAGTGGGAAAATGTTTCTGAAAGCATAGTTTAGTCTGTGTTTATTACCTAATTAACTTAGAAAGATGTAGTAGGCCTGGCTGGGATGGAGTTGACTTTCTTTGTAGCAGCCTGTATGGTGCTCTGTTTTGGATTTGTGGCTAACACAGTGTTGGTAACACACTGGTGTTTTGGCTGTTGCTGAACAGAGCTTGCACAGTGTCAGGGCTTTCTCTTTTTTCCCACTCTGCTCCCTCAGTGAGTAAGCTGCAGGGGTGAGAAGGCACATAGCCAGGGCAGCTGACCCGAACTGTCCAAAGGGATATTCCCTATTCCATACCATGTAACGTCAGGAGCCAGAAGAGGGGTTTTTTGCATACAAGGTGTTGGCTGTTTGGAGGCTGGCTGGGCATTGGTCCCCATGGGGGGTAGGCATGAGTGATTGCCTTTGCTTGGCTTCCCCCCCTCCCCGGCCCCTTCCCTTCACCTGTTGAACTGTCTTTATCTCAACCCACAAGTTTTCTCTTTTGCTCTTAATATTCTCTCCCCTGTCCTGCTGGAAGGCTGGGGGGAAGCTGAGCCAGTGTGGGTGTGTGGGTGCTTGCCTGCTAGTCAAGGTAAACCTACCACAACAGGTAACAAACATCAAGCTTGAAAAATACTGGCATTTTGCAGAACAATTAACAGTGACACTTGCAGTATTAATCTGGGATTAAGTGATTAATGGCTATCGCTTCACCTTTGTGCTTTTATATGATAAAATCCAGGAAATCAGCAGTTAGTCTGTGTTAATGGATGCCATTCATGCACTTCCACTTTTCTTCAAAGGAAGAATGCTACCCCAAGATACATACATTCATCAACAATGTGTCTTTTTGTATAAGGGGAGTTTTGTTGCTACGTGTTACCCTGAACCAAAGAAAAACATTTCGTAGCTCTATATGCTGGAGTTCTTCCTTAGAAATGTCATGGTGTCCTCTGATGTGTATTGGTTTCACTGGAAAATATTATATGATATAATTTCTTTTAATTTCCCCTCTGAAGTGGGCCAGATGGAGAACATATCGCCTGGACAAATCATCGATGAACCTATTCGTCCAGTTAACATTCCACGGAAAGAAAAGGACTTCCAAGGGATGTTAGAATATAAGAAGGAGGATGAACAAAAACTTGTCAAGAATCTTATTTTAGGTAAGCATCTTTCTCATTTGCAGCCTCCTCTGCTCCCACACACTCTGAAAAATGAATGGTAAGAACACAGAATTTGCATTATGAAATGAATAGCTTATTTTGGTTTTGACAGTGTTCAGTTTGCCTAAAATTCCTGAATGTCTATTGTAACCTAATCATCCTTCCTGATGAGTATAGTACATATTAATGTGTCTGCATATTTTTTAGCAGGCAGTTGTGTTTTATTCTATTCTGATATTTTACCAAGAAAGTGGCTCTTCTGAGTTTTACTCTTAATTTTCACTGGCCATATATAGATATGTATGTACAATTAACTGGGGAGGTTGCAATTACCACATATAACACCTTCCAATGGCTTTATACTTAACAAAACAATGTGTGTTTGTTTTTCCCAAGAGCTGAAACCACGGGGGGTAGCCGTCAACCTGATTCCAGGACTACCAGCATATATTTTGTTCATGTGTGTACGCCACGCGGATTACCTTAATGATGACCAAAAAGTGCGGTCATTGTTGACTTCCACTATCAATGGCATCAAAAAAGTGTTGAAGGTTAGTTAGTCTGCTTGGTTTAGGAAAACATTAATTTAAAATTTGCTTTTGATTTTATGTTAGAGGAGTGAGGGAAAGACCTCAATGAATTGGCTCTGGGTTTCTGATCAGTAAAGTCCTCCCACCAAAGTTACAAAAACTTGTTAACAAGCAGCAAATGGCAGTGATAGCATTTTATCCACATAATACCACAGATGGTTTGAATTAGTGGAAAAAGAACTACTTTTTTTTTTTATTTTGAATAGACTTCCTCCTCTGAAGCTATGCCTGTAAAGCTTTCGATGCGGTCAGAGTTTGCATAGTGAGTCTTTGTAATCCAGAACACTTAATTAAAATGTTTCATTTGCAGTTTTAGTTCACAGATTTCCTCATTTGCTTCACCTACAGATTACATTGATGATAATATGTTACTGCCTAAAGTCTTCGCAATGAGTTGGCTAGGAAACTTTACTCCAGGGGTATCTTGAAAGCATATTAAGAGATAAATATGCTTTATACTTCATGGAGTTTTATAGTTTTTAAATAAAGCAGATGTGCTCAAAACCTAAGCATTTTATCAAGCTACATGTTTTGAAAAAATGTTTAGTAAACAATCCTGTAGGAGCTTAGAAACTTTTGGGCATATTTAAGTGAATGGAGTGCATGCTACAGAGCTCTAGAAATTTTAATTACTCAGCATATACTAGATTCTATACTCTTTGGTGAGGAGGGCTTTTTGTTTTATTTGTTTTCCATATGAGGCTTCCAAAATGGTTATGATGTAAGTGACATTCATGCACACTGAATTGTTCTCTGCTCCTCCTGCTGGCTCTGCATCATTCCCATCCTCCATGTTGGGCTCTTCACAAGAGTCATTGTACCACAGAATGAGTGTTTTGGGAATACTGTCACATTGCCCTTTAATTTCTGCACAGAGCAGTTAGGATGGGTCTGTAAAACACAGAAAGATCGTATCTGTGGAGGATATCATATTTTGAAAGTTTTTGAAACACATTACAGAAAACAGGAAGGGTGTTTAATGGCATTTTGTCAAAAACCTTGCTTTTCTAATATGTTACTGAAATACACAAAGTTTTGCAAAGCATCAGAATCTGAGTAGCTGCAAGAAAGTAGATTTTAAGTGTTCAATTGTTTAACATTTTATTATTGTATTCCTCCTGCCAGTCTTTGTTGAAATGTGTTTGTGTTTATCTTCAGAAAAGAGGTGATGACTTCGAAACAGTGTCCTTCTGGCTATCTAACACCTGCCGATTTTTGCACTGTTTGAAGCAATATAGTGGAGAAGAGGTAAGCAGTGCTCCTACTCTGGTTTCTTTTGCTCTGCAATACTATTGTGAGCACTACTCTTTAACAAATTCCTGTAATATCTCAGTATCTAGTCAAACTCTCTTAAAACAGCTACACATCTTGGGATGATGGTGATGGTGTCAGTGGAATGCATGGGGAGATAAGATTTGAACCAGTTTCCCTTTATTGCAGGCTGGGGGCCCAGAGGCTAGATGACATTGTGCTCCCAAAAGTGCCAGCTCAGATTGTAGAAGAATCTGGCTGCGATCACTATGGTGTTTAGTAATGATTCACTGAACTTCCTATGAAAAAGGCCGTTATTAAGCCATTTAACCATAGTATGGCAGACCAATTTATGTTTGGAGGCTGTGGTATGCCTAATTTCTTCTTCATACTTAACTGGGATTTTGGCTATAAGTGGCTAGGAGAGAATGCCCATGCTGGAGTGGGAAGGAAGGGTCTTACCTGCCAGAAAGTTGGCAGAGTTTGTTCCTGTGCCAGATACTGAATTTGCAAGTCAAGGAAGCAGATGTGGCACAAGTCACAATTGAAAAGCAAATCTTAGCATTAGCCTCAATAAGAAGAACTTACAAATTAAAATTTTGAGGGGCTGTGACTAATCTTTTGAAAGAATTATTTTTCAGTTGAATGAAAAAATGTCAATACTGGTTTTGCGTAATATTTTTGTATTTCATTGAAGCATTTGTTTCTGTTATTTTATGAATTCAGGGGTTTATGAAGCATAATACACCTCGTCAAAATGAACACTGCCTCACTAATTTTGATTTAGCTGAATACAGACAAGTACTGAGTGACTTGGCTATTCAGATCTACCAACAACTTGTCCGAGTGTTGGAAAACATTCTGCAACCAATGATTGGTAAGGCAAAGTTGAATTCCTTAAACTTCACACTGTAGTACCAAAATGAAAAGTGGGATGGTGGTAATATGCTATACCTTTTTCTTCCTAACCAGTAGAGTTTTATTAATAGTTCTTGTGGTATCAGTCTGATACTGGTTGCCCTGTGAGTTGGGAAATATCCCATGGAAAAACTGGACTTTAATTACATCACAACTCATAATTAAAATGAATATGGAGAAAAATGGCTGGTTGTCATCATGGACAGCAGTCAGCAATGAAATAGCTAGCAGTGATGAAGCTTACATTCAGAGAGATTTTTTTCATTAAAAGTACTTTTCATTTTTCTTGTCAGACAGTACTCTTACACAAATTTCATTATGCTTTCTGATCACACCAGTTAGAAGAATGAAACAGCTCTTGGTTTGCTGACTCTGCTGCTCACATGACCATGAGAGGAAAAAAGTATTTTGCTGAGCTAGAGTTAGACCTTCCTTTCAAACAGACATGCTGGGATCGTTGTAAAAACCCTCTAAGCTTACATTTTGTGGAACATAGTGGGACACAGAGAATTGCTGGAAAACATGGCAAAGTGTGGCTAGCAGAAAGCCCAGCCTGCTCTTTCTGTGTAAATACTAAGTTTTGCTGTCTTGCACCATACGCGTGCATATAGGAATTTTCAGTCATTACAATAATGTTGTCAATCAAATGCAGTTTCAGGAATGCTGGAGCATGAAACTATCCAAGGTGTCTCAGGGGTGAAACCAACAGGACTGCGGAAGAGAACATCCAGCATTGCTGATGAAGGAACCTACACTTTGGACTCCATTATTCGGCAGCTGAACTCTTTCCATTCAGTGATGTGTCAGCATGGAATGGATCCAGAGCTGATCAAACAGGTTGTCAAGCAGATGTTCTACATCATTGGGGCTGTAACGCTTAATAATCTCCTCCTGCGCAAGGACATGTGCTCGTGGAGCAAAGGAATGCAGATAAGGTGGGAGAGCTCATTTTATACTTTTCTTGAATGTGCTGCTGGAAATCTTAGCGAACTCTTGACACTGGTGAACATCATTTTGATGGAACAGCAGATACACTTTGAATATTTATTTTTCCACACACAAACAGTTGCAGCTGCTGTTAAACTGATTTTGAAGTAGAAAAAGTCTTGGTTAATTTAGGCCAAACGCTACCTGGATTTCAAGGAAATGTGGTAAAAGCAAAACAAAAGTATTTCATCATCAAGTAGGAATCAGATCTGTAGGTGAAATGTTGGTAGTTGCTTTCTCAGCTTTTAGAGAAGAATAACAAATATGCCTGCTGTGTTCTTTGTATGCTGCTGGCTCAGTGGATACCTGCTGTATTCACCCACTCTGTAGTTTGCTGCATCATGCAGTAAAGCCATCTTACTCTATTCCTGCATTTGGCATCAGTTGTCCAATGCATTCTACTGGCATATGCCAGGAAATTTAGCCAAGGCATTCCACTCCCTCAATTCACCTTGAAAAGCCTTACTGTACATTTGCATGGGCAAAATCTCATTTGTCTTTCTTATACTTGTCACATTCCTGCAATTAATATGAACAGAAACAAATGGGAAAAGCTAGTTAGTGGATGTCATTGGCCATGGCTTCTAACTGTTGTGGTGGTTTGACCCTGGCCGGATGCCAGGTGCCCACCAAAGCCGCTCTATCACTCCCCTTCTCAACTGGACAGGGGAGAGAAAATATAATGAAAAAGCTCGTGGGTCGCGATAAGGACAGGGAGATCTCTCACCAGTTACTGTCACAGGCAAAACAGACTCGACTTGGGGAAAATTAGTTTAATTTATTGCCAATCAAAACTGAGTAGGGTAATGACAAATAAAACCAAATCTTAAAACACCTTCCCCCCACCATTCCCTTCTTCCCGGGCTCAACTTCACTCCTGATTTTCTCTACCTCCTCCCCACAAGCAGTGCAGGGTGACAGGGAATGAGGGTTGCGGTCAGTTCATCACACGTTGTCTCTGCCGCTCCTTCCTCCTCAGGGGAGGACTCCTCACACTCTTCCCCTGCTCCAGCCCACGTGGGTCCCTCCCACGGGAGACAGTCCTCCACAAACTTCTCCA